TAAGCTACCTATATTCCATGGCGAGAAGGAATGCGCTAGTCAGTCTCCAATGCCAACGCGTGAAATAGTTCTAGCTTGTATCAATTGATCTTAGCTGATTAAACCTATCTCACTTTTGAGCAAATGTACCTTTGCACGTAATCTGCTAATGTTTCTACAGATTGCTTAGGGCTAATAAGATTTATTCGTTCCAGAATTATATCAGAATAATACAGTAAAATAATAACTTTATCATCCTTTAATTACATTAGCAGTGTAAAACTCGCCTATTGTATCATTTACAAAAAATAGTTAATTTATATGCAATTTTACCTATAGGTCGAGATGTTAGAATGGATATTATTGCAGATACGATCGCTTCAAAGATCGCAGATCCATGCCATATTGTGAGCCGTTTGCTTTAATGTGCGTAAAAGTGATCGAGAAAGTTAATTAAAAGCATAAACATTGATTAAATTGACAATCTAGTGTATTATATTATGGCTGCTTTATGTCAACAGTTACAACATCATGACTTCGAAACGAGTCATAACTCCTTTTAGTAATATTAATCATCTATTGAAGAAAAAGAATTAGAAAGCGCCCACATTGATTAACAGCAAGGTTTCAAACTACAAAGACATAAACTGCTACTTTATGGAATCGTTAAGATTCATACGTAAAGATATAGCAACTTCATCATTGCTAACTGATTTACCATCACCCACATTATTCATAGAATTGACAATTTGGTGTATTAGATGATGTTTTTTCATGCCTATGGCCACAACAACAATATGGCCTCGATTTAAGTAACAACTACTTCAAGTGAAATCAATCTTCCATTATATCATTAGAGAAAAGAATTCTTGCTTTGCTTACCTATCAGTACGAACGTAATGATCGATAAAAAAAAAGTGCAACACCAAGGAAAAGGAACTCATAAATAGTAAGAAGAGCCAGTCATAGACGATTAAGGGAAGAGCACAAGGTTGGCAAATACCCGAGGCATTGGGTCGGAATCCGCAAAGGCAAGGCTACAATATCAACAATAAGTTGACATTTATTGAATCAATAAGTGAATAGTATCTAATTGATTTATTGTCATGGACGTAATTGATGTCCACAAACTACATTATTGATGATGGAAATAATAAAGTATCGATCTATGTAGTGCATTCCAATCAAGACAGTGAAGAAAAGGAATCATTATAACTAACTCAAGCAATGCAATGATCTTTTAAATTGAACGCAAGAAACTACATAACAAAATAAAGAGTTGACGATCGATATCATTGCCGATTAAACTTGTCAATTTTCGCCCAAGGATGAGAAGGATTTATGCACTTCTTGATGTTACTACTGTCCAACTTTGTTCAAGATCAATAACCAATCTCACGATTATGTCAATCATGAATCGACTGATCATTTTTAACCATTCTTCTCCTAGGCAAAGTCATATTCGATAAGACTGTTTGAAATCATTTTCCATTTTGATTATTACTTACTCCACATGCCGTTAACTGGCCGTTTTCTAATACAGTTCTACCACAGTATTTTCCAGTACAAGCATCCAGGGCATCCGCTAACAAATACAAATAAAAGAAAGTATTTTCTTCCATTCTACTTATCGAAACATTCTTAATCTTAATCAAACAACGATATTCTTAATTGGTCAATGCTATTTGAATAAAGGTCAACATGGAATTATTTTGTCTAATATTGTCTTGCAGCATTTCTGTTTTTATTTCTTAATCAGTTGTTTATGCTTGAAGAACTCATAATGAGTGAAAAAAGAAATGATATCGATGTAAAGGTGATCGCAGTCAGAATTGGGTAGTAGAGTGTAGAACTAATTCAACGATCGATCCGTTGCATGGAAATAATTCCACAATTGTTTATTGCATAGAAATAACTCAACGATCGCTCCGTTGTATAGAAATAGTTCCGCGATCTACTTATTGCTTACAAATAATTCA